GGGGGGCAACCCCCAGTTAGGGTGATGGGGGGTCATAGGGGGACTCATGAAGCAGGCGCCCCCATTTTGGGGGTGCATTGAAGTAGGGAGGGGGATATGGGGTGAGGACCCCCCCGTTTGGGGGTGTAGAGGGCATGGGGAGGGGGTTATGGGGGTGTTTTGGGGGGCTGATGGAGTGGGGACCCAGTTTTGGGGTGCAGGGACCGTGGAGGGGGTTATAGACCCATATGGACCTATATGGACGCATATGGACCCATATAGACTCATATGGACCTGTATGGTCTTATATGGACCAGGGATCCCCAAAGTGGGGGGTAATAGAGCCTGGGGGAGCTGGGAATGAGGGAGGAATATGGGCACTTGGTGGTTCTAGGGCCCATATAGACCAGGTCAGGGGTCTTAAGGCCCATATAGATCAGGTCTGGGGTCCTAGGGCCCATATAGACCAGGTCTGGGGGTCCTAGGGCCCATATAGACCAGGTCTGGGGGTCCTAGGGCCCATATAGACCATGTCTGGGGGTCCTAGGGCCCATATAGACCAGGTCAGGGGTCCTAGGGCCCATATAGACCAGGTCTAGGGTCCTAAGGCCCATATAGATCAGGTCAGGGGTCCTAGGGCCCATATAGATCGGGTCAGGGGATTCTAGGGCCCATATAGACCAGGTCTGGGGGTCCTAGGGCCCATATAGACCAGGTCAGGGGTCCTAGGGCCCATATGGTCGAGGTGGTTTAGGACCAAATGGGCCAGGTCAGAGGGGCCCCAGGCCCATATAGCCCCATATACCCCATAGAGCCCCATATAGCCCTATATAGACCTATATCCGCCCCCACCCCCCCCCAGGGCCACGCAGATCCCGATGGTCAATACCAGAACCACTTGGAGGCAGAGGGGCAATTCCCACCCGATCCCGACCTGCCCTATGGGCCCCATCCGGAGCGCGACCTGCCCTACCAGGGCCACATGGACCACGACAGGCAATACCCGTCCCCCTTGGATCGCGACGGGCAGTACCCGTCCCCCTTGGATCGCGACGGGCAGTACCCGGAGCCCTTGGATCGCGACGGGCAGTACAGCGGGCGTGCGGAGCGGGACCGAGCCTACGGGGCCCGTCTGGATCGCGACGGGCAATACGAGGCGCTGGCCGAGCGGGATGGGCCGTATCCCAACCGGGATCACGATAGGGCCTATCTGAGCCGGAAGGATCGCGATAGAGCCTATCAGGGCCGTCCGGAGCGGGATGCGCCGTACGCGGGGCGCATGGACCAGGATGCGCCGTACGCGGGGCGCATGGACCAGGATGCGCCGTATCCGGGGCGTATGGACCAGGATGCGCCGTATCCAGGGCATATGGACCAAGATGCGCCGTATCCAGGGCGTATGGAGCGGGATGCTCAGTACCCGGGCCGCATGGACCAGGATGCGCCGTATCCGGGCCGTCTGGAGCGGGACGCGCCGTACGCGGGGCGCATGGACCAGGATGGGCAGTACCACAGCTGCTTGGAGCGGGATCTCCAGTACCAGCCCCACTTGGACCTGAGCCGCCTGGAGCGCGAGGGGCAATATTCCACCCGTATCGACCCCGACGGGCAATACTCGAGCCGCATGGAGCGGGATGGGCAGTACCAGAGCCACGTGGAGCGGGAGCTGCAGTACCGAGGCCGGGACGGGCATTACCCGCCCTGTCTGGACCGGGAAGGGCCCTATCCTGCGCCGTGCCCCCGGGATCGCTGCGGCGCTTCCCATCATCACCATCACCATCACCACGGCCGCGACTGGGACCGGGATTGGCCGCGGGTGCCCTTGAGCCGCAGCTCCAGCCCCGGGGGGGGCGGGCACAGCACCAGCGCCAGCACCAGCCCAGCCACCACACTGCAGCGCAAGTAAGGACACCCCCCCCCCCCAACCATGGACCCCCAATGGAGCATCCCGGGCCCCAACTCCATGGACCCCCAATGGAGCATCCCGGCCCCCCCCTCCATGGGCCCCCAATGGAGCATCCCGGCCCCCCCCTCCATGGGCCCCCAATGGAGCATCCCGCCCCCCCCAATCATGGACCCCCCAATGGAGCATCCCGGCCTCCCCCCTCCATGGACCCCCAATGGAGCATCCCACTCCCCCCCCATGGACCCCCAATGGAGCATCCCACCCCCCCCAGTCATGGACCCCCCAATGGAGCATCCCGGCCTCCCCCCATGGGCCCCCAATGGAGCATCCCGCCCCCCCCAGTCATGGACCCCCAATGGAGCATCCCGGCCCCCCCCTCCATGGACCCCCAATGGAGCATCCCGGAACCCCCCATGGACCCCCAGTGGAGCATCCCGCCCCCCACTGCCCAATGGGCTGAGCTCATTGCACCCTATGGGGGGGATGCACCATGTGCGGGGGGGGGGGGGTCACACGGGGACACGCACGTCACCACCCCCACACCCCCTCCCTCCCCCCCCGTGGTGGCACCGTCTGCCCGGCCTGGCCGGGTGCCTGGGGATGGGACAAGGTGGGGGGGGGATGGGGATGGGGGAGGGATGGAGGGGGATGGGCGGGGTTATGGGGGGGGTGGGGACACTTTGGGCTGTCCCTGACCCTGCCCCCCCCCCTCCTCCCCCCAGGTCGGACCGGGACAGCTCGAGGACAGTGAGGTCAGTGCTGCCCCCCCCCATGACCTTTGACCTCCTCTTAACCCCCCCTTGACCTCCTTCCTTCACCCTCCCCCCCTCTCCCCGGCTGCCTGGGTCCACACACTGGGGGTGTCATCGCGTGCGTCACGATTGGGCGGCTCTGTCCCGATCCTGTCGCGACAGAGCCCGTGGCGGTGATGCTGAGGCGTTGCTATGGGGCTGAGCTATCGCGATAGGACCCCGGCGCGTCCCGATGGATCGCTGTCGTGACAGGACCCATCGCAACCCGGTTGATCTGTCGCGATGTATTGCATTGCGGTGTGTCGCGATAGGGCTGACGTCACAACAGGGTTTTGCGACACGTTGGGGGGTGGCACATCACGACAGGCCCCGTCCTGTCGCGCCGGGGCCCCGCTGTGTCGCGACAGGGCCGCGCGTTGCCGGGGCGGCCGTTGCCAAGCGACGGCGCGGGCGGGTGACAGCGCTGACAGCGCCGGGGAGGCGTCGCCATGGCAACGGCGACCAACCCCCGGCGCCGTGCGAGCGAGTGACCGCCCCCCCCCCCGGGGGGACCGGGGTCCGCGTGTGTCACGTGGGGGGTGCACGAGGGCGTCACGTGGTGCCGGGTGTGCGATGTCCGTGCGGCGCCGTGGGTGGGTGCATCACATACACGTGTGTGCATCACATACATGTGGGTGCATCACATACATACATGTGTGTGCATCACATACATGTGTGTGCATCACATACATACATGTGGGTGCATCACATACATGTGGGTGCATCACATACATACATGTGGGTGCATCACATACGTGTGGGTGCATCACATACATGTGGGTGCATCACATACGTGTGGGTGCATCACATACGTGTGGGTGCATCACATACATACATGTGGGTGCATCACATACATGTGGGTGCATCACATACATGTGGGTGCATCACATACATACATGTGGGTGCATCACATACATACATGTGGGTGCATCACATACATGTGGGTGCATCACATACATACATGTGGGTGCATCACATACGTGTGGGTGCATCACATACATACATGTGAGTACATCACATACATGTGGGTGCATCACATACATGTGTGTGCATCATATACATACATGTGAGTACATCACATACGTGTGGGTGCATCACATACGTGTGGGTGCATCACATACGTGTGGGTGCATCACATACATACGGGTGCATCACATACATGTGGGTGCATCACACACGTGTGGGTGCATCACATACATGTGGGTGCATCACATACGTGTGGGTGCATCACATACGTGTGTGTGCATCACATACATGTGTGTGCATCACATACATGTGGGTGCATCACATACGTGTGGGTGCATCACATACGTGTGGGTGCATCACATACATACATGTGGGTGTATCACATACATGTGGGTGCATCACATACATACATGTGGGTACATCACATACATGTGGGTGCATCACATACATACATGTGGGTGCATCACATACATGTGGATGCATCACATACATGTGGGTGCATCACATACATACATGTGAGTACATCACATACATGTGGGTGCATGACATACGTGTGGGTGCATCACATATATACATGTGGGTGCATCACATACATACATGTGTGTCCATCCCATACATGTGTGTGCATCACATACATACATGTGAGTACATCACATACATGTGGGTGCATGACATACGTGTGGGTGCATCACAAACATACATGTGGGTGCATCACATACATACATGTGTGTGCATCACATACGTGTGGGTGCATCACATACATACATGTGGGTGCATCACATACATGTGTGTGCATCACATACATACATGTGGGTGCATCACATACATGTGGGTGCATCACATACATACATGTGTGTGCATCACATACATGTGGGTGCATCACATACATACATGTGTGTGCATCACATACATGTGTGTGCATCACATACATGTGGGTGCATCACATACATACATGTGTGTGCATCACATACATGTGGGTGCATCACATACGTGTGGGTGCATCACATACATGTGTGTGCATCACATACATGTGGGTGCATCACATACATGTGGGTGCATCACATACATGTGGGTGCATCACATACGTGTGGGTGCATCACATACATACATGTGGGTGCATCACATACATGTGGGTGCATCACATACATGTGGGTGCATCACATACATACATGTGGGTGCATCACATACGTGTGGGTGCATCACATACATGTGGGTGCATCACATACATGTGGGTGCATCACATACATACATGTGGGTGCATCACATACGTGTGGGTGCATCACATACATGTGGGTGCATCACATACATGTGGGTGCATCACATACGTGTGGGTGCATCACATACGTGTGGGTGCAGCACATACGTGTGGGTGCATCACATACGTGTGGGTGCATCACATACATACATGTGGGTGCATCGCATACATGTGGGTGCATCACACACGTGTGGGTGCATCACATACATGTGGGTGCATCACATACATGTGGGTGCATCACATACGTGTGGGTGCATCACATACACGTGGGTGCATCACATACACGTGGGTGCATCACATACATGTGGGTGCATCACATACGTGTGGGTGCATCACGTACGTGTGGGTGCATCCCATACATACATGTGTGTGCATCACATACATGTGGGTGCATCACATACATACATGTGGGTGCATCACATACATACATGTGTGTGCCTCACATACATGTGGGTGCATCACATACATATATGTGTGTGCATCCCATACATACATGTGTGTGCATCACATACATGTGGGTGCATCACATACATACATGTGTGTGCATCCCATAAATACATGTGGGTGCATCACATACGTCTGTGTGCAAGAGCACCCATCACACGCGTGTGCAACAACCTACATGTGTGTGCATCCCATTCATATGTGTGCTTCCCCTACATGTATGTGCAACAGACTACATGTGTGCATCCCCTACACGTTTGTGCATCCCCTACATGTGTGTGCATCCCCTACACATGTGTGCATCCCCTACACACATATGCATCCCCTACCCGTGTGTGCATCCCCTACATACGTGTGCATCCCTACACGTGTGTGCATCCATACATACATGTGCATCCCTACACGTGTGTGCATCCCCTACATACGTGTGCATCCCTACACGTGTGTGCATCCGTACATACGTGTGCATCCCTTACACGTGTCTGTATCCCCTACACGTGTGTGCATCCCTACATACGTGTGCATCCTTACATACGTGTGCATCCCTATATACGTGTGCATCCCCTACATACGTGTGCATCCCCTACACGTGTGTGCATCCCATACATACGTGTGCATCCCTATATACGTCTGCATCCCCTACATACGTGTGCATCCCTTACACGTGTGCATCCCCTACATACGTGTGCATCCCATACATACATGTGCATCCCTTACACGTGTGTGCATCCCTATATAAGTGTGCATCCCCTACATACGTGTGCATCCCTTACACGTGTGCATCCCATACATACGTGTGCATCCCCTACACGTGTGTGCATCCCCTACACGTGTGTGCATCCCTACATACGTGTGCATCCCTACTTACGTGTGCATCCCTACATACGTGTGCATCCCCTACACGTGTGTGCATCTCCTACATACGTGTGCATCCCCTACACGTGTGTGCATCCCTACTTACGTGTGCATCCCTATATACGTGTGCATCCCTACATACGTGTGCATCCCTTACACGTGTGTGCATCCCTACATACATGTGCATCCCTACACGTATGTGCATCCCATACATACGTGTGCATCCCCTACATACGTGTGCATCCCTACATACGTGTGCATCCCTACATACGTGTGCATCCCTACATACATGTGCATCCCTACACGTATGTGCATCCCCTACATACGTGTGCATCCCTACATACGTGTGCATCCCTATATACGTGTGCATCCCCTACACCCGCGGTCCCGGCCGTGCCCACGTGGACCCCGCGCACCCCCCACGTGCAGAGCCCGTTTTGGGTGCCCCCCCCCCCCCCCCGTGTCCGGCCGGGGCAGGAATTCAGGAATTCCGGGCGGTGGCTTCCGAATCCCGGCGGATCCGGATGGGATGGGGACGGGAAGGGGGGGAGGGGGGGATGTGATGAGTTTCCCAGGCCTCAGAGCCCCACAGACCAGCATCACGCCCCCCTTTGGACCCATCACAACGTGAGTGTGGGGCACGGGGACCCCCCCCAGACCTTATCCTATGGGATCCTTCTGGATCCCCCTGCCCCCCCCCCCCCTTTTCCAACCGTGTGTTCCCCCCGCTCCCCCGTGTCCGTGTGTCCATCCCGTCCCGTCCCGTCCCGTCCCCCACCCCCGGCTCTTGACTCGTGTTTTCTCTCCTCTTTTACCTCCCTGTCCGTGTGTCCAACCCCGTCCCCATTCCATCCCCATCCCTCCCCATCCCCATCCCATCCGCATCCCCATCCCTCCCCATCCTTCCCTATCCCTCCCCATCCCATCCCCATCCCTCCCCATCCCCATCCCTCCCCATCCCCATCCCATCCCCATCCCCATCCCATCCCCATCCCTCCCCATCCCCTTCCCCATCCCATCCCCATCCCCATCCCTCCCCATCCTTCCCTATCCCTCCCCATCCCATCCCCATCCCCTCCACATCCCTCCCCATCCCTCCCCAACCCCATCCCTCCCCATCCATCCCCATCCCTCCCCATCCCCATCCCCATCCCATCCCCAACCCCATCCCTCCCCATCCCCAACCCCATCCCTCCCCATCCCTCCCCATCCCTCCCCATCCCCTTCCCCATCCCATCCCCATCCCCATCCCTCCCCATCCTTCCCTATCCCTCCCCATCCCATCCCCATCCCCTCCACATCCCTCCCCATCCCTCCCCAACCCCATCCCTCCTCATCCATCCCCATCCCTCCCCCTCCCCTCCCCATCCCATTCCCATCCCCTCCCCATCCCCATCCCTCCCCATCCCCTCCCCATCCCCATCCCTCCCCATCCCCATCC